TAGGCCTACTGATGATAGCTTGATTAAGATTTGGGTTAGATTGCCTTATCTAGGAAAACCAGGTGAGTTAATTTTACGTAGATGTTTAAATAAGGTAAAGAAACACTTAATTAAAGAGGTAAAATTCAACTTTATGGCAGTATAAAAATGTTTCTCATTTTATATCTACTAAGGATCAAACCCCTAAGGAGTACAGAAGTTCTGTTGTCTATCATTTTAAATGTCCAGGCTGCAATAGTGATTATATTGGTAAAACAGATAGGTGCTTAATAACTAGACTTCAAGAACATTCTTCACGATCTGATAGTGTTATATTTGAAACTGTGAGGCATTCCAATATATTTTAGGATTACAGGGTATACTTGAAAATGATAATGTCGTCTGTAATGTAAGTAATAAATTAGGTTTAATATTTTCTAGTACTAACATTATTGACAGCTTCCGAAACTGGTCTATAACTTCAAACTTTCAACTGGTCTATCCTATTGTTTAAAGAAGCGTTCGCTATACGTAGACTACACCCTTTGCTTAACAATGGGCTCAGAGCTTCAAAAGAGCTTTCTTTGTTTTTGTAGGTATCTTTGATCATTAGAGTAAAGCCGCAATCGCACTGGATTTAAAATAGGGAAATATTTACCGAGACTGTGGGTAACATTCCAATGGGTAAACTTCCTGTCGTTCGCACTGGGATTTATCGACGTGGTTAGTTTTACCACAGGCCATGGTGAAACTAACCATTCGTACAGATTCAACTATTGGGGGCGCTAAATCGTGACGTTCACAGCTCATGCGTAATTGCCTGACAGCCTGAGGAAGGTCATTCACTGTGATGACTTGGGAAGTTTACCCGACTCGCGCTGTTCGCATTGGACTTTCCTGCTAGGTAAAACTAACCTGGTCAGTTTTCCTGGGCAAGCGGGACTCGGTTAAATTAACCGCCCGGCTTGGGTAAGTTTCCTGTCAGGTAAACTTCCTGTGCTGTTCGCACTGGACTAATTATGGTAAAACTAGCCAACGTGTTGGTTAGTTTTACCAAAAAAAGTCCAGTGCGATTGTGGCTTAAGAATGCTTTGATCTTTTGTTTAAATCACTATGTCACCTACTAGAGGTAATGTTTTGATTGGTTAAACACTTTTGGTACTAGTGCATATAAGCTTGCTAATATGGATAATTTTTTCATTCCTGATGATGACATAATTAATGTCGAAATATTGAATCCCAACACGATGGCGTGTATTTCAATACTTGGAGTATGTATTATACTTTCTTATCTGAGATTAATCAGTGGACCTTTCGGTTAAATATTAAAACAGTGTAAATATTTTTTTCATTTCCTTCAACTCATATAACTTATATACCGGGATGGTGTCCGGCGGGGGATAGTTTTTACTATCATAGTATCTTTTATCTATCAGAATCTAGCCCCGAATCCTAGACTCATGTATTTAAAGCGGCCTGTAGCATGTGTATACAGCATATATTTGTATTTTTTGTCGATGGATAAATAAATGTCCGAATATAAGAATTGAATATTGTTTTCTGTACACTCCATGTTTGTTTGGGTCAGTTAAGAATTAGTACCTAATTAGGCCTATTAATGAAATACAACGGTACACGAACATTCACTTGTATATTTTATTTATATTTTGACATTAACATAGGCCTTTAACACTCAATATTATTTTTATTTAACATAAGCCAATAAACAGCTTCCACACATAAAATAACAGTAGGCCGAACCAATAAAAATATATAAAATACAAAACAAGATTTATGCAAGATTTAAAAAAACTATACAGAAGTCTCCGCCCAGCAAGCAGACAAGGCCATACTTTAAACTGGCATCCAGGCACTCCATGGAACATTCTATTGTTAGCATCTCAATTGACCCACTTCTGTCAGAGCGGCGCTCAAAGCGAATTTCTGTAGACCAAGGAGGAAAGTTCTTTCCTCCATGTATAGATCAACACCGGCCACACAGTCAGTGACATTTGTCACGTGATGTTGCGTACTCTGTTGGACTGATCACGTCCACACACACAAGGTACCCAATATTAGTTGCATAGGCCTAGTTGCTGTATATAATATATATAGAAGAAAGAAGATGATTATAGGAATTGTTTATTTGTCACCCAATGCTAAAACAGAGTCGATCCAGGAACTGTCATCCATGGTTGAATCAGTTCACCTAGATTACCCAGATTGTGACTTTATTTTGACCTCGGTTGACACTCATATCAAAGGGCCTGTTAATTAACCTTGCACAGGAGCTGTCTCTTATACACATCTAGATGGGTATAAGAGACAGCCAATTTCATTTCCATCAATGTAACCTTGTTAACTCATATAGGAATAATAATATTTTAGATTTGATATTATGCAGCTATGATATAACAGACTCTGTATCGGCGGGTGATGACATCTTTGATTCCGATCATAACGCTTTGTGTTTTAGTTTTAAATTACATCATACCCCTCTTTTTAGGCCTGCTTCGAAAAGGACCCCATACAATTATAAGAAAATGGACGTTGATATATTGATTACCAAATTGAACGAGGTTAATTGGGAAGACATTAATGCTTGTAATAATATTGATGAGGCAGTCCAACATTTTAATGATATTGTACTTGAAATTGTAAAAAAATCTGTTCCTGTCATCAATCCAAGGCGTCTATAGGCCCTCTACTTTTTAACCTATTCATAAACGATCTCCCGTTAAATCTAAGCTCACAATGCTTAATGTATGCCGATGACTTGAAGCTCATTCGACAAATCAACACTCTTGGAGATTCCCATCAGTTATATTCTGTTAGATCCGACAATTGATATGTTTTTTAATAGTTTGAATATTTTTAAGTATAAAATTAAGAAATGTCTTGTATAAGTGTTCTTGATGTTTTCCGTACGGTGTTTATTGTGTTTTATGTATTCCATTCTGTAAGTGGCGGGCTCCCCGCTGTCGAATGTGAATTAAAATAAAATAAAATATTGATGCCTACGTTTAATAATAGAGAAAATAGATGTTCAATTTTCTTTATAGTTTATTGAATGATGTTTGGCGAATACTGGCGTCCATTTGTGTTCCTATGTGATATGTGTGCAGGGAGTTGATAAATGTTTTGTCGTTCGTCGTCAGCTTCTTAGCTGGTAGGCTGATAACGAAGATAGGTCTTTCCAACAGAGCAAACGGCAATTAGGCCTACATGCATGTGCTGCCATTATCGTCATTACCACATAATTTAACTATTAGGACTATGCAGCCTTTAAACTTTGAACTTGGTTCATTTCAAAGTAAAACTTGTTCAGTATTTTAAATTGTACAAAAACGGTAGTTCAAACGGGGCCTGGTCTAACGACACAGACGCGTTTGTCGCCCAAAACAATAGAAACAATGGCAAACTCGTTCAACAGCACAAACCCGTTTAGACGCGTCTGGGACATATTCCGACTAGCTTATTAATATTCATGAGGCACGATAATTAGACAATCACTTTCCCAGACGCGTTTGTAATACATGGTTTTCCCAGACGCGTTTCTGTCGCTGAGGATAATTTGTAGATCGCGCCTAATAGAACGAGCGTTGAACATAATTATAGATGGGAGCGGTGGATTGAAAGTTCTCCGTTTTAACCTTTGGCGAACGCCCCCTCTCCTACCCCGCTTCCTACGTTTCATATCCCGCGGCAATCCATCGACAAAGGCGGGCTTCCGCGAAGACAATGGCCTTGCTTGAAGTAGTTTTCCAATCTGCTTGAATTCACGTCAAAACACATCAGGAATCCAGTCTCCACAAACAACGACGATAACACACCACAAATATTGATAAAGTCTGTAACAATAGTTGTTACTTTCTCTAAAAACTGTAATATTAAATGAACTTTGTTAGAGCCATGAACAAACATGTCGCTAGCAGAGCAGCGCCACCAAAAAAGTATATATTGTATTTATTAATGATTTGTACGTGCATATTAGAGGCAGCTAGGCTAAGGAATTAAATACATTTTAGGGCCTACATTGGCCTAATCTAAGCTGCCTAGGTAAGGCCTGCATTGTCATTTACTGTTGAATATTTTCCTCAATCTATTTATAGATCACAATTTGTTAGAAAAATTAATACCAGGCCTATGTCCTGAGATCAGGCGCGATCCATCGCGGAATGCAGCTGCTGAGGTCGAATATCTTAAAATGTAGGCCTAGGCATTGGAGAAGATTGACATCGGAATAGGCCTATGGCTAGGCCAACCCCGACGCGACCCGATTATTTTTGGAATTACAGACGATCGGGCCCACGAGAAGATCGGGCCCAGACGATCGGGCCCATTTTTGAACGATCGGGCCCATTTTTGGATGATCGGGCCCAACTAGGGTGGACGATTGGGCCCACTGATGTAGACTTTTGGGCCCATTTTCTAAAACGGAGGGTAGACGTTCCGGCCCATTTTTCCAAAGACGATCGGGCCCATTTCCTTATGACTTCGGCCGCCGATAATTTCAGTCGGGCGAAATTTGTATGGGGCGCCATATGGGCATTATCCCAATCCCACACCCACTATTGTTTGGAGTCGCCATCTATGTCGTGGTGTGTGTCTATTTACAGCTAATTCAAGCATAATGCTTTCGTTAATATTTTTCTGTTTTTTCAGGTAAGAGGTAATGTGGATTCCGGTTATCAAAGCAATATAATCGTTGAGACGGTCTATTAGGCCTAAAAATATAAATTGTTTGTTTGCCCTTCTTTTTTTAAAATGATAAAAAGGGGCTGGTTGAGTTTTTTAAACACATTTTTTTATATGTAATGTCCAAAGCAGAAAAAAAGTTTTCTTGCTTTGCCACCCCTATTTTTTTCTCAGGTAGGGGGGGAAGGTGAGGAGGGCAAACAGACAAACAGCCTTATTATACTTAGGACATTTAGTAGACCTACTGTATTATTTTCTGTTTTATCATTCATTTTTATTTATACTGGGTGGTAAAACTGTACTTGAAGGTGTAAACTAAGGTAAGTTTCAGTGAATAATTAATAAATGTAATGTTTTGTGTTGTACAATTTGACATTCAATACAGATTACGTTTATTTGGGTGGTGGTAGCCTGCACCCTTGGACTAACACACAATAATGTCTAAAAGTATACATGCATTTTATTTATGATAGCAGCCTAAATGTTTATTTGTTAGACAAATATTTAATAGAATGTACGGTATTATGTAGTATAATTCAGTGTACGTTAGTGTTATTTCATTGATGTCTTATTGCGTGTTTGAAATCCTGTCTCAAGATGACACAGCTGTAGCAGAAAATCCCAAACAAGGTTGAGACATTTATATTTATGTATAGCGCCTTTCTTTGTAGATACAAAGCGTTATATTATACATGACAGAGGAGAATACATGTATATTATTGACATCGCATGACATATAATACTTGGATTATGTGTTATACTTTCTCAATTGCTAATTTCGTATTAAAAAAAGTTATCCATATTTTTAATAATCGGGAAATAATCTCAGACAGTAATATTACAGATACTAATAGTACTATTACTGTCATAATTTTATTTGGAAAGTGAACATTTTCTTAATACAAACGATGGCGAAGTCGGCTTTGTTGGGCGTGTACCTAAACTTGCCCGATTGTCACGACGTTCGCTGTATTAGCAGTTGAATAACCAATAGGCGTTGTCTTAACGCCTCCCTTTTGTATGTACCAGGTATGTTTATTGGAAGTATCGTTTAGATGCTACCCTTGCAAAAATAACTATTAACTTCGCTCCTTCCCCGTGAAGCTTAAATTATGTTTGTTGGACATAAATTGATTGTTGCCATACAGTTATAAATAGCGTTGATTGATATTTCCGTGTTTTATTAGGCCGATAAAATGTTGTGATACCTACTAGTAGGCCTATATACAAACAATCTAATTGATGACCTTAGGCTGAATGATATTTATATTCCTATCGTTAGGCATATTTGTTATCATCACACCATCACATGGGTGCAGTCGGAGTGAAAGGGTCTCGACCTTCTCAAATTAATCAAAATTTTAAAAAAATGTTCGGAAATTGAAAACATCATATACATATATATATTATTTTCCAATTCAATATAACATTTATTAATCCAAAAAAAATTAGAAGTTATAACATTTATCATTCAAAGTA